TAAATGTACTAAAGCTGAGCGAAATGCAAACTGTTTTTCAATAATTGGTTTAAAATGAAATTTAATTATGTCGATGCTCCCAATAAAGTTTTTTTTTCTCATTTACTTTAACATTTCAAAAAATAATACTATTTCTCTGGCTACAGCAATGTTGTTAGGCTGCTGTTCACAAACTTTTATATCTTCAGCACTACTATCCAAAATAGTTATAGTTAACCACTTGATGCCGCAATTAAGTCCTGAGCTTCCAACACCGAAAGCTGTATCACGATAGTCCGGCCTTCGTAGTGCGTCACACGCGATCTCGTCAGTTTTAGTTCACCAAGCTAGCTAGTCGGTTCATTCATCCATTAAATTAAACACAGTGTTTCATAAATTTGGGTGTACAAATAATCACAATTAGACATATGTGGTGAAATTGTCGAGACCAAGCGGCCTATTAAACGATTGCGTGAACAATTTGCAGCAAATATGCGTCGAAATTGTACCACTGGATGGACTACAAATGAAAATGGTATGTTTAGTGCTCGTATTAACCACCGTAATTTCAAATATATTTACCCTCTTGCGTTTAATCAGTCTCGCCTCTTTATTAATTAAACCAGAATTAGAGCACTTGAAATATTCATGCAGAAATGTTTTCTATTATAAGTGGTTCAATCGATTTGAAACGAATTTTGATGTGTTCTGGAATAATAAAATGTTCAGAAGTATACCATTGATTATCTTGCCGCCAACAAGTCGCCTCCGTAATTGAAATTTGAATAATATTGTTCCTCTGCTACATTAAAACTATCAATTTATTGATCTCAACGGTATTGTTGAATYGCTCAATTTTTAAACCATTAAATCAAGTTTTATTGCTAGCTGAACAGGTAATAGTTTAAATATTTWTTAATCAAAGTTTTCATCGCTAAATAGTAACTTTAATGACCTTTTTTGGACTTTAATTTTTTGTTAAATATTAATAATTTTTTCTTTCTGTTTATGTTCAAAAAGTAATTGCCATTCTAAATTAGCAAATAAAAAAAAGTTTGATTACTAAAGAGTAATAGTTATCTATTATCACTTTACACATCATAAATCTTCGTAAACTTACCATAGAAATGCACACAAACATGCAATATGTAGATAAAAAGAAACCTTTCAGGGTAAAGTTGTATCAACTGAAAAGCTTTTTCATGAAAAGGTAGTGTTGCCAAAACTTTTATCGAATCTAATATACACATTTCTTACACTTTTCACTTTTTTTGTGATCAAACATTAAATATTTAGAAAACATTGACATTTTTATTAATCCTCAAAATTAGGTAATTACTTCCCGAAGAATTAACTGTACTTTTAGAATAGATTACTTTAAACACGATTTGATAAATTTTTAGAAAACTCCAAAACCCACGCTTTAAAAAATGCAACTATTCGAAACCTTAATTTCAAACCAGTTAGCACTTTTTTACTAAATTTAAAAAAATGGGATAGAAGTTGTCTATTTATGTGAAATTTGTTTATTTTGTTTCATAATATACAGGCTGGATTATGAAAAACGCCCCAAGCCACAATTTCATTATTTTTAAAGATATAACAATACTTTTTTGATCAAAGTTGAACAGTTTTTTGTTATCAGTCTTTTGCTTGTCTTGAATAAAATGAATAAAAATGTTCTATTCTTTCCAAAGCCTACTTTATTTAATTTAATTTTCAAATTRCCTAAAAGCAAAAGTTAGTAATAAATAATAGTTATTGAGTTTGAAATTTAATAAGAMATTTAAAAATAATAAATATASAGGCTGTTCCTTTTAAAAAACTGAAATTGATGTCACTTTCGGTGAAACAGGAAGCAGCAYTGACTGAGAACCTATCCCAAACAAAAGATGACAACTTTGTTTTAGAAGCATTGTCATATCTTTAAAGATAATRGAGTTTTGACTTGGGGCGTTTTTCGTAATCCATCCTGTATATGTGTTCAAATTATGGTCTTTGAGTCTTTTTAAATATTTAAAATAATTCAATTTTTTTGAGAGTTTGGGTGCTTTTATTATTAAACATGTCTTTAACTTTGCTTGTATTACTCAACTTTGTACCTCAAAACACCCTTGCCCTCCTTTACCTTATCTGACATATAAAATTAAAAGTTGTATCGATTTACTAAAAATACGCACCGACKTTTACGCAAGATTGAAAAGTTGCACTCACATTCAGTTGAGACTATATCCTTTCGAATATTTTGAAATTATGCTGAGACTTTCGTCATTTATCGATGCCTAGGTATATAATCTTCTCTTCCCCACCTGCTCAGTGAATAAAACAAATGGAACAAATAAACCACGCACTTTCTGAAAAGTGTCGATTTTTTCTCACTGCTGATCCCCGTAATTTATATATGCATCGAAGTCTCGCACGTGCAAATGCGCCTCATTCTTTTTAATTGGCTGTAGTTTGAAAGGTCAGCGGTGTTCTCAATGTCCATTCCTAGTTCGGCAAATGCGAAGTTCATCCATTTTATTTTAAATGTCGAATTTATCGATAGACAATCATCCGTCCTTGAAAATTATACTTTTCTGAATATTAGCAAGCAAAATTCACGATTGTCATAAAAGTTTGAGCTTTTTCACACTCTCACAGTAGGATACCTGTAGAGTTTAGGTAATTAATTTGTTGTATCTACAACTTTTGGCTGTAGACTAATAAGCTGTGTAACCAGAGCAGCTATTAACACGATTGATCAACAATCGTATCGAGTCAGGCTGTCGTTAAACCGTTTTATTGCTGCATAATTACATTTCATGTAAAATAAGCTCTCAGAAATGAATATTTAACAAGTAACAACAAACGTTATGGGCACGACCTAGACACTCCGACGAGTCTGTCAAGCCCGCATTTATTGTCTAAAATGAATTGATCGCCCACTGAAATGACAGAGATATCGGAATTTCCTCCAGGAAGTAAATAGAAATATTTGCCGAGATATGTTTGAAGAGGAACCAAGAGGCGCACCTTCGGGCTACCAACACCAAAGCGGTTTACTTGTGGGTTCTGTGTACTTAAAGCATACATCTCTCGAAATTGATATATTTTCCAAGCTCAAATATTTTTGCCAAAATAGATATATCTTAATAGGAACCACATAACGACTATGTATAAAACTTTTCGCAGTCTGAAACTTCTTATTGTTTTTTATATGATTGAACGGTTATTCTTTTATAACTCGATCATTTCAATTTGACGTCTCTTCGTTCGCTGCTGTCAGATATTATAAAGTTTTCCTTTTTCTAACACGTATTGTTACATTTTAATAAATGTTTTCTGTTTTTACTTTTGTGTTACAGAAGGTGACAAAAATCCATAAATCAACTCAATTATTTAAAATATGTGGAGATCAATGCGTAAATCTTATTCTTTTTAACATTACAACACTTACTGTTATTTCTTATCCACTCAACAGATCTTTTCCCTAGTGAAAAAACACAAAAGYAGTCGTTTCTCTAATCGAAATTTAAATTTAAAACGGGATGAATCGGATAAAATCTTTTCAGTTTTGAAGCTACACACTCATATTTTCTTTAAAATTTCTTAAAAATAATTATCTAAATTATAATTACTTGATTTTGAGAAAAGTAAATCTCGCAGTCTCTTAATGAAATTACTTCGTTGTACTGAAAGCCTCAAAAATAAAAAGACTGTCACTCATAAAGCAATAAAGGAGTCAACAACCGTGTGACATGGTTAGAGAAGCCGGTTGAAACAGTGTTATTAATTAATGTAATGCTTTTAGGAATTTATCAGCTGCCTGTGGCGCCTCTGTCGCCACTATACTCCCTCATCTTATCCCATGCTTTGTTTCGCCATCCACAATTTATTTATCTCGATAAATTAGCTTAACCTGGCATTTTTTGTAAAAACCTAAGCAGCTTAATCTTGTTCAAGTCTGAATTAACTCAATTACTTACGCATTTGTTTACTAAATGAAATATAAGGCGTCGAGGCCCTAAACCGATAATTAAAACCAATATTTTAATGCTTTAATTGGGGCTTTTGGGGGAAATTAGGTCAGCGGTAAATTGATTTGGGGAGAAGTTAGTTCTCAACGAACCGAAATTGAAATAAAGAAATCAAAAGCGGATTAAAACGTCCGAGTTTGCACAAAAAATTGCAACTTCTTCCAATTTCTAACATAGTTTTTTCGATTTTTGATTAAGTAGCGTTTGTTTTGTAATATACACTTTGTTGGACTTGAAAGTACTTTCAGTGGGGTGATAAGTCGTTAGTAAATTATTTCAGCTTTGAAAATAATGATTGATGTTGGCGCCTCTCATATTTTGTGATAATGGCTGCAAGTTTCATGAAGATTATATAGCGTGTTGCCTGAATATGCAATGTTTTAACACATGATAAGAATTTATTGAAGTTGGAGTTTTACGATTTATAAATTGACCTCAAACTTGTAAATTACTTGAGGAAATTAAAAAGGCCTAGATGGAGTTTGCTTTTAAATTAATAAGAAGGAAAGGCATGTCTGAATTAAAGTTGGATAGCAATTGTACTAAGGGTTCACGAGGCAATTTAATTTAAAGAATTCTCTTATAAAAAATTAATAGCTGCCAGCTCGCGTATAAAATAAACATTAGAGCTGTGAAACCGGGGCAAATGTTAAATATTTACTTAGTTGAGGCGCATTCTTGACTGAAAAAGAGTATTGAGAGGAAATGGTGAAGCTTTCATATCCAAATCTTAGCAACAAGCTACTGTTTGTTTGGGTTAGTTGGAGTGGGACACAAAAAATGAAGCGAGACAGTGGGAACAGCTACGGATCGTATTTCAACAAAAGAATAAAATAAATTTAGTCAAATTTAATTTAATGTAACACTTACACTGTTAATTCATTAATTAATATCGGTTTGCGAGCCGCCTCTGTTAGAGTGTTAGATTAAATTTAAGGGGGTCTTGAGTGTGTTCAATTCCACGCTTGATGAAGATTTTCTAATTGAGATCGTTATTTTCAGGAAGGAAGTATGCGGTTGAAGTCCGTGGACGGACCTCTGTCCATTCATAATGGCAACAGCAACGACATATTAAACTCCCCTAAACGGATTAACACGCTACAGAACAGCAACGTTACAAATTTCACTTCGAATCTCACAACCACAACTGAATATGATGACATTAACGGGCTTACACAACGCACTAATGAGACACTAAATAATATCAACAGCACCCAAGAGAAAGTGCAATGGTGCAACCCTTCTCAAAGGACGAAGAAGCGAGAGCTAACCAACAACGCCAACAACAGAAACCAGTTGCTCAATATCAACAACACACTGGCTGCTTCCTTAAGGACCACGAGGCTCGGCACCGCCTCTTCCATCTACTCGGAGTCGTCGCCAGATGATAGTCTTCTAGATTTTGAGGGTAAACACACATTTTCATAACTTGGCTCTAAAATATCCCACTTTATGACAGCCCCAACAAAGGGTTTCTTATTGCATTTCAAGAGAACTTATCAAATGAAATAAATTTAATTAAACTTCGGTAAAATTCATTTCAAAACCAGCAGCGAATTCCGGCTTTTAATTTTACAAATTTATGAAAACGATTATTAATGTTCATGGTTGTAATTTCAATGCTGATTGGTGCTAAATTAACATACTTCAGTTAAAAAGGGAATTCGATTAAGTATGATTTAATAAAATGCCATTTCAAAGGACAAAAATTGCTGTCTGGAGAATACATGACACGAGTGAAAATTTGGGAGCTCTGAACCAGTTAATTTAAAAGAAGTGTTTAACTGTAGGTTAAAAATAAATTTTAAAATAAACACAACCTAAAATTTGCAGATATTGTAGTAATAATCTACTCCTACAATACAACGTACAAAACCACACTAACTAAGACAAAGCCATTTCTTTTATAGCAGCACCCAATGCAGAACTCATCACGTATTATATTCCAGTCGTCATCACATAAATCAAAATCTAGCGTTTCCTCCATGCGCTCTCGAATTTTCCAATTATTTTTATTTGAATGTCTGCAGCATAAATTTATTTTTTTTAATAAAATCGCCGGTAATCACGAGGTTGTAAAACAGATTACAGTATAAATCTTTGAGCAAAAACTAAAACTTAACAGAAAACTTTTCTACAAGTGCTTCCTCCAAACTTTCCTGTTTTCTCTACAAAGATGAAGTCGGAATATTAACTTTTCTAATTATCTTACCCAAAATTAGCTGAAAAGCTTGTTTGTATTAAAAAAACAATTTGTAAGATCCTAAGGCGGGCTGTCGTTGATGGTGTGTCTCAACTCAAGTGCTGAAATATCTGAAATTAATTGGGTGTTGCTTGTCAGCTGTAACCTAAAATTCTGTTTCAGACGTCCATCAAACCGTCTCGTCCGCAGACACATCTCCCCAGGATGAGGATCGCGGTTTTGATATTTCCGATTCCGACTCTTCTGAAGAGAGCAACTTGAGCAATCGAGGCACAGCGACCCTCCAACGACGAGGCATAGTAAACCCGAACTATCCTGGATTTCAGCACCTCGCTCACACACTCGATTACAGCATTAAAGCCTCGTCAGATACCGATTTCACAGACGACGACTTTGAATGCGAATCATTAAACACCGCCAAAACCGACGTCAACAACATTAACAACAACAATGTGGAAGACACAGATTATCAAATCGATCACATTGACAGCGTCAATCGATTAGACAGCGTCGAAAATATACAGAAAGTGTTCTATGACAAACCGGTGTTTAATATTCAAGAAGAATGCGGGAATCGAAGTGACTCGGAAACGAGCGGAAACTCGAATCAAACCAGTGATGAAGACACGGAAATTAGTGTAGCACAAACAGTTGAACTCAATATCAAAACAGAAGAAAATATCACGCCAAATATCATCGGAGATTTTGAAAAAGAAGTCGAACAAGAGTTTGGGAGAATCTCGTTAGAAAATTCTGAATTGCTCAGTCTGGAAAAGGCAGTGGTTCAAGAACTTGCAGAAACAGTCGAGAAGTTGAACGAAGCAATCAATACGCAACTATTATCTCCTATCAGATATAACATTCAACCAAACGTTGAGGAACCTCTAAACCAATTATCCTCAAAACTCGAGCCTCAACCATTAGTTCTAAACGACACTGAAACCGTAAAAATAAAAAACATGCCTTTACTGACTGAAAACCTCGTAGAAGCTAGACAATCCGATAGCAAAAATTCAGTAATAATGAAAACTAAAATCTGCGACGCATTTCTCTCAAATGCCCAGGAGACGATCGCTTCACTTAGCGAAAACCTCTTCAAACCGGAAAAAGACACCAAAATGAACCTCGACTATACACGAAAAGACTCCAATCGCGAACTCGAGGAAATCGAATATCAAATTAAAAAGCTAAAATCAGACAACAAACATTTGCGACTCGATGAACTCGAGAAATTCAACAAAGAGGACATCACTAAGGACTATAGAGAGAAAGATGAAGACAGTGCAGTGCCCCGGAAGAAGGAAAAAATCGACTATTATCTGAAAAAACGAAAAGACTATAATCAACAATTTGGCAGTTTGATAACGTTTCCAAGACGGGAATTCGGAGGAAGAAACCGCGAAGTGTTAAATAGAAGGTCGGTGCCAATGGCTAGAGAGAAGAAAAGGGCCTCGCCCGAAGTTTTAGGTGAGTTTTTTTTAATTAGGTGAAAATGTGCTAGTGGCGTGATATTGTTAAGAGAAATCCCAAAAGAGTAAAATATAATATGTTGTAATGTGTCACTGCGGTCACGTTCTTCATTAATAAGGCTAATTTACCCCTGATGCATGCTGTATGGAAGTTACACGGTTATTATTTCAATTTATAATACGAATTAACAGTTTCAACAAACAAGAAAATTGAAAACTTCATAGGTATTTAAATATTTAATAACAGCTTTTCTGTTAAATGGAAAATAGCAGTACAAACATAAGTATTATTTTGTTACTAACAATTTCATATCTGAAATCTGGAATTATATTTTCTGAAAAACATGCCCAAATTTAAAATTGTCTAAAAAAACTTTTTTCATTTCAAGTGGAATTCGCATATTCCGAAACACAATTCTTCTCTTGATTAGCCTATTTGTGCTATCTGTGTCTCTGAATCATCTCAATCTTCTCTATTAGATGTGTCAGTTAGTAGATCATCACTCATTTCTCTTTTTTTTATTTGTACCAAATTACTGATGAATCCTTCCACTGCAGGCAGTTTCGACGTTTACAACATCGAGACCGCAATGCCTAAAATCGACCTGGAGGCCATCGAGTCCCATCTACGTGCTGCCCGCGAAGAGGAGCGAAGGGTAAGTTGCACCCCCAAAAAACTCGTGTATATTTAACCGTCCCCCAAACAAGAAATGTGTCAAGAGCAGCAAATAACCTGTTCATAGATCTGTCATAACCACGAACACACATGTGTTGATTCAGATCTCCTACACTCAATGTTTTTTTTAACTGAACCTAATCTCTCAATTACATACGGCTGAAATCAGCTAACGCGAGTGCGTTTAGTCTAATTTATTTCGCGAACTGATGTCACTAAATTAAAACTGAAATGTTTCCGCGTCGGAATTTTTCGCTGTTTTAGCACACACGAATCGATGTATCGATGCATTGTGCTCGTTATTTAATTGTCTGTGATGGATTTGAACAATTGCCACAAGGTGAGGTTCAACTTGTCCAATTCTCATACCGGAATTGTAAATAAACAATGATATGTTATCATCGATAAGAGGCGCTAGATACACTTATTACTTAATCTGTCGTAAATTTGTCCGCTTTTAATGCTAATATTGTGATACTTTTACGGAGTTTTTTATGACAGTAATATGCCTGTTCGTTCCAACAAACGTGGTACAATTTTGTAGTGTGGTTTAATAATTCGCTTCAAAGATGATGGATGAATATGTTATCGAGAAGCAAGATCCCATGTATAAATTTTTAACAATGACGCCAATGACACACGATATTCTCGCAGAGGTAATGAGCTTTTTAGCTTCTTGAGAAACAAAATTCAAGTTATTTTAAACAGTTGTCTAACACGTTTATTACCAGTGTTTGTGTTTATACTAACTTTTAGAATAAACTACGAGACTTTAGTTTGAAGGTTATAAAAATGAGGCATTTTTTTTTCATTCAATTAAGTGAATTAAAAACTTGAAGTTGAAACACTCTGTATACAAAATAAATCTTTGTTTTTTTTTGGTGATAAATAAAAATCGCTTAGTTAGGTACGAGTACTTCTACATTAATTTATAAATTCATAAATTTTCAAATTGATACAAATAACGATTGACAATTACGAAAATAAATTGTTACGTATCGCATGTATAGTAGCTATCGCAAGTAAAAACAATAAATTGCAATATTAAACACAAAATTCTCTAACATTGTTGGTGATGATAGCACCATATGGGTTCATCAGACCATGAAAAATGACGTGTTTCCTTAATTTATAATTATTAATTTGTTGTTAATTGATGTGATGTATAAAATTTTACCTCTAAATAATTTTAATTAAATAAAACCGGAAATGCACAAAAAGAGATTAATAAATAAAAAACTATTTTACTGGCAAGTACGAGTATATTACTTGGCGTTTTTATTTTCTTTTCACAAACCAAACACAAGAGAAATATCGCAATCAAAGCCATCCTCCGGTTAATTCCAGCCTTCTGTTTCTCTTTATCTTGCCATAAAAATCAGTAAATATCGAAATATCGCCGGCGAAATATTTATTTCGTTCTATATCCCTTTCAGGCGGCTTTCTCCCCCTAATCGGATTTTTGTCATGAAATTTAGCTTTCTTTACAAACAGATAAGAAAATGTGTTGCCATTTAAACGAGATAACCGTGATTTATACGCCCGAAGCAAGAAATTTGCAATGTATGTGTCCTACATTATTAAAATATGCGCGCAAATCCGAGCTACCAAATTTGATTAGTTATCTAACTGCATCCATGTATGTAATATGGGTATTTTATCTAGTCTGATGCATTCTAATTTGGATTACGAAACGAGATCTGCATTTCCACGGGAAATGTGATATTTGAAACGTATTTTTCAGCTCTGTCAAGATATTTTCATCAAATTATGACGGCATAAAAATGTTTGTTCCTTAGTTTTATTTTAATTTATTGCCATAATTTAATTTCTTGAGCTATTTATGTTTCATGAATATAACAAACCGAATTTGAATAGATACCTAATAATATTTTTTTTAATTAAAGAGTTTGATGGTCGAAAGATATAAAAGTAAGTTAATTATTATAATATCGTACCTTCACTAATTTTACGAACATCCGCCCACCTCATTATTTGGAAACCTGAAATTTTTGCTTTTTTATTTAAATTCCTATAATTACTCGACTCTTGTAGATTAGAAGTACAACATTACGCCACGGTTGAATATTTTCTTTTTCCGGTCAATAAACAAAATTCTTTCTCGAACCGGTAAAAAATCAATGCTTCCAACTTTGTTCTAGAAAATACCAAATGGCAAAAATATTCAAGACAAGTACATTTTAATAAAATATGTTGTTTTATTTATAGCACCGGTGGGAAACATGGAAATTTATGCGTTTTTATTTATATAAAACAACAATAGTATACACTGTAATACTGAGCTCGGATTTATATGCAATCTTTTGTTGCTTCCATAAACCTCCATTTCATAATTCAGGTGTTAAACGAAATTTTCCGTCTGGTCTGCACTTTTGTGTTTTTCAGCCCCCGGAGTAGGTATAAATCTACCTACATACAAAGATTCTCCTCGGATGAAATTATTACTTGAATATTAACAAGGCGATGCTCTAGTGGTTTATTTAAATAATTAAGATTACTATTTGCAAGTGAAATTATTTTTATGTGGCGCATTCAAGTCCGCGGCAAAATAAATTAACAATAGAAACCTCGGTTTCCTCCACAGTTAGTGAATCCGCTTGTTAGTGAAACGTTGCACGGAAGTGAAACAGAAATCATCCACAAGAAATGAATGAACATTTGTTTATAATCAGGAGTTTACCCCCGGTCTTGACCGGATATTCGCGATAATAGTGCATCGTCGTGTTATCTTTGAATATTCCATTTGTGGTGTCGTTTCGTGGGACTGTTATCTTTATTTTTTATGAAAATGACATCATTGAAGCGTAAGAGACATTACAAGAAAGATACCACATATCTGCTAGACCTCTACACGTTAACATTCGACGAAAATGAAACGCTTGAAAGTTTGGACCTAACTGTGAGTATAGTTTTTTTGGGGTCGCAAGGGGTATGTGGAATTTTTTATTATTATTGTTTGGGTCAAAACGCAATTTTAGAAACTTTTATTGTAACAATAACATAAATACAATTTTTTATTTCTTCGAAGAGCAACTAATTCTTACGGAACTAGACACATTTCAAATTTTGAAAAGTTATTCTACCGTTAAAATATGAAATATTGTTGCTGTATCAACTATTGTTTTCAATCAAGAGCGGAACAGTTTGTTTATAACTTTACTGGTGATAAGTTGCGATGACCTCAAAATTATTTATTTAACATTATTTCTTTCTAGAAAACATTGCTTTATTTTATGTTTCATTTACTAGAAAACATAAATCAAATGTGTCATAGTTTACATATTAATTTATAAATTTAATCAAAGTGAGAAATCTTTCTCATGTGATACCTTTTAAAAAGGTTTTCCAAGTCAAGATTTTTTCTTAAAAGTGATTAGAAGAGAAATTCAGAGAACACAATGATAGGTATGAATGAAAGCGTCTATCTTCATTAACTCATTTCCAAAAGACAGCTTTTAAAAATTTCCACCCTTCACGGCTATTATTAGTAAAGATATTTTTTATTAAGACTGTAATGTCTGACTGTAAAAACAAGATTGTTACCTTATTATTAAATGTTAAAATGTTGCAATGCACTGGATACATTTCATATTTGTTACCTATACTTTTTTAGCATAACTGAAAAAAAAAATGTTGCTTATAGCCTTTCTCTCTTCTTTTATATATATTTTAAATTATTTTATTTAAGTTTAAATACGTATAACGGGGTAAGGCAGATAAGTGTCTAAGAAAGTAATTAATCAATCAACTTAGTGTAATTTGATTTTAAAATTATAATATAATGCTTGTAAAATATTCTTTTAGACTTTTTAAGATAAATTAAGATCAATTAACAATTTATCATAATAATAAAGAACTTTGAAATATGTTATTGGAAACATTTAAATCTTAAAAAAATTGGCGATTACAAGATCGTTTGTGTTGCTTTCGAGTTTCGAAATCTGTTGAGATTAAAATAGTGAAATAATGAAAGCATTTAAATAATAGTTACTTATTCGACGAGTTTGAGTGTAATCGGACCGAGTGGGTTATTAAACCACGAGTGTAACGATGTGTAAATGTATTTATTCTTCGACACTGTCAAAATTTACGATTTTTTTCCCCTGTAAGGAAGTTTTGACAACTGTTTGGCATTTCTCAATACGAAACGTCAGATTATTTTTAACAGATTTAAAGCGAGTTTAAGCCTTATTGAGTCTAATTCGAAGAATAAAATGTTGTATTCAACTCGTTTGAGTATAAATCGGACGCTTTATTCCACCTTGTGGATGATAAACCACTCGTTACACTCATGGTTTAATAACCCACTCGGTGAGATAATCCGTCCGATTTACACTTAAACTCGTCGAATAAATAACTATTAAATATGTATATTCAAACGCACTTACAAAAATGTTTAAAAAATAGTACAAATATTCTTACAACACGAAATAGTTATGTATCATTATGGCACAATATCAATAAAAAGCACCAATAAAGAACTTTTAATGTGAAATTGAATGACACATCGTTTAAATATTTCGCGCGCAAGTCAAGACGTGAGGAACTCATTAGGCGAACCTTTTTCTCTTAACCTTGAGACAGCTGACAGGTGCTATGGCAACGTCAGTCTGTCTCTTTCTCAACAAAGAATATTCAATGACACTATCTTTCTCATCGCCCCTAAACAAAAACACCGGATGGTTTGATTTTCAACGTGAACATGTGCAGAGTGCATTTGTTGAAAGTTTCTCAAAGAACAACGAAGATAATTTAGCATCAAACCTTTCATTTAAATCAAGTTTATTASTTTAATTCGTTAATTAAGTGGCAAGTCACGCGTGAAAATGTTTGACAATTTGTTAAGTTCGTTGAAAAACCACACGACCAACTTTGGGGATTTAGTGAAAGAAAAGTCGCGAAAAATCGTTTCTAACATAAACTCCTTGAAAAATATCGGCAAACATAAGGCTACGTATTACACGGTGGCCCCCCGTGAAGAGAATGAATATTTCGACAACGACTACTTGTCCCCCCGGGCCTACTCCATGACCACTTTCAGTATTGACTATAACTCGGTTAATGAAAACATGGAGTGGTTCCCGTACGTGCCCCCTTCGTACGACGAGCAAAACATCGTTGATCGTTTCATTAAAGTCATTACAATAAACGACGACACGCTTGATGTAAGCCCCCCTGAAGTTTAGCCTTTACTAATCCCCGTTTTTCCAGAGACGGACCGACAGGGAAGAAATCCGGCGCCGTCTAGCCATGGGCTCGGAAGACGACTACTATACGGATCGGCCCGGCAGGAAACCCAGCCTCCAGGCTCGGCTGCAGAGCGGCATGAACCTCCAGATCTGCTTCATGAACGAGACAGTATCAGATACCGAAAGTCCCAGCTCGGATAATGAATGCCCCCTGACTAACCCCAAACAACCAAAGACTAGTCCAAAGACACCGCCTGAAAAGACTTTGCCCCCTGCGCGGCCAGCTTCGCTGTCTCTGGGCCAGCCGTTGCTCCAACCAGTGACACAGCCCATGACTGAGACTGATTTCTTCGCCAGACAAGCAAGACTCCAGACTGAGGCCCGGATGGCCCTAGCACAGGCCAAGGAGATGGCCAGGATGCAGATGGAGATTGAGAGACAGAGACAGAAAAAAAGTCCCATCACGGAGATGGTGAGAAATAGTCTGGAGAAAGTGGGGATTCCGTTCCCAGAGGAAAAAAGGAGGTTGTCGAGACAGATTTTGACAGAGATGAATGTGGCGCAGCTTCAGGTCATTGTCAATGATCTGCATACGCAGATTGAGACGCTCAATGAAAGTCTGGTCAAGTTTTTGATGGATAGGGACGATCTGCATATGGAACAAGATTCAATGCTTGTGGATATTGAAGATCTGACGAGATATTTGTAAGTTGGTTTTCTCTGGAATTCAAAGACTTACTATTTCTAAAAAAAAAAATAAGAAAAACTGTACATCCGATAGGTATTCTTTAAATTATTTATCAATTTCTGTATATATTGTTTTAATCCTTGTTTTTTGTCATGCACTTGAAGTTAGTTTTTGGATTAAAAAAGAAAACAACTTGAGGTTCCACCATGTTTGGATCAATGAAAAAGTTTTCTATTTATCTAATTACTTGTTGATTAATCAACGATTGACACTCGGTAATTGACACTCTCGCTAGACATATAGAGTTAAAAATGTGTACGTTACTAATTAAAAATATGTTTTTTACAGGGGGGCAAAGGAGCAAGTCTTCAAGGAGCAAACTTTGCTCCCGTCGAATAACAACATACCTCCTCCTTCGCCAGCGCCGTCTTCGCCATTGGCTGCTCTCAACAGCAGCGTGAAACCCCATTTACATAGGATAGCAAGTTTGGTTAAAAAATAACAAAATTGTTTAATACTCCCTTATGACCGAAACTGTGAATTGTTTTGATGGTTGAATTTTGGCAATGAAACTTCAGATATTAAGCGAGAGCGTGAAGCCAGTTTAAACTGATACGTAAGTTTTGCAATTATAAAAACAAGCGTTTTAACAGTACGCAAACGTCTTTACTCATGATGTTATTTTTGTAATGATTTGGTAGTTAATTATTTTTATACTTTTGACATATCAAAGTAGTTTATTTGGAAAGTTTCTCATATCCTCATGTGAATGTACATACTTACTACATAATTTTATGTAGATGTTGAGCTTATAACTGTATAATATGGTTGTGTTCCTCAAAGTTTCAGAAATAGTGTTACAAGCTAATTGAATTTATGATAATAGAGACAATATCAACTTTGCATGAACTGATTTTTGTTAAAATAAGTTACATCATGGGGTACTTCAGAGCAAAAGTTTGCAAAGTTTTAAATGAAGTAGCCGATTATGTAATGACTAGAAATATCTAAGAGCCAACTGAATCTCAAGTTGTATCACTAGTACTTATTAGTTATTAAAATTGTGAATTTCGAAAACTTGTGGTCCAGTTTGTTGATCAGTCATACCTACTCTTAGACACCAACTGTAATATAAATTGACTGAAGCTTTTTCTGTACATATGAAATTAATGTAGTTATGAACTTATCTCTTTAAATAAGGACAGCTTGGAAAAAGTTGATGTTAACAGTAAGTAGGAAATATTTTCAAAAGTTTGGAAGGGTAGTTAACTTGCCATGTGTAGATATTATAGATTATTTTAATGATAGCTTCAACCCTTATTTAAATAATTTAAATTATTCTTGATAATTTTCTATGAGAGTATGTTAATGTGCCATAACGTTACGTTTGCACAGCACATATTTAATTTTTTTTTGAAGACTGCACTTGTATCCAAAGACAACTTAATCTAATGGAAATTGTTTCTTGGTATAAAGAAATGATTATTATCGGATGTTATTTATTGTAATACTAAAACTCAAATCATTGTGAATACAAAAAGCTTAAATAAACTACTTGTAAAACATCACGCATTCGTTTTTTACAAACACACCTCTTCCATCCACTATATTTACAAACTTAAACTTAATCAAAACTCAATATATTTGATAATTATTAAAAAAATAAGTATAATTTTTGTCACAAGCGGGTTTTACTTCCTTCTTTGACCGCCACCACCGCTGGCCAAGATTGTCGCAATTCTGATGAAAATATTCAAAGTATCCAGATAAATCGAAATTGACCTGAAATACAAACATTAACTCAAATAAACCAGCAAACCCTTCAACTTACGCATTAATAGGATCATAGGGTCTCACTCCATACAATTGGGGCGACGCTGGGTAAGTCTCCGCTTGCTTAACAATCCTTTGAGTATCATACAACAAGAAAGCAGAGAAAAGAAGCAACCCCCCATAGATTGAAATTGAATACAACCCAGCTCCCAATGCCGTTGWTGGTGGTAAGAAAGCGCTTCCAATGGAAGCAGCAAACACAACACCGAGACCCATCGCCAGTGGRGCCCCCATATTCATGAATTTCTCACTAGGGGCACATACGGCAACCGTACTCAAACCTCCTACAATTCCAGCAGTGTACCAAGCAGCCCTGATTAGCAATGGACCACCCAAGAAACACATGGGGGCTAATACAGCCCCCATAGTGCCGGCGTGAAGCAGCCACGCGAGTTGTTTCGCTCCGACACCTTCCTTATATTCAATGCTTTGGCATAATATTCCAGTGCCCATGATAGCCCCTAGAGTAATAGCAATGCCCTAATAAAGCATGTTTTAAATAATTGAATTTAAAATGGGGTTCTCGTACCATAAAACCATTTTTTGTTACTAAGTTCATGATGACCGGACTTCGGAACGCAGCCATGGCGCTAGCTGCAGTTATTGCGATTGAGCTCCCAAAGTACATATAAGTCGATTTAATGCGATCTCGGACATACTGGGGCCACAATCTGTTAAAATGTTGATAATTGTAAATATTATTCTGTTTACACAGTCATAATACTTACACTGATCTTTCAAACGCCCCTACTTCTTTAGACAATCCTAGACCATAATAACAAAGAGCCCCAAGTCCCAAAAGAGCTCCACCAGCTACTGCTCCCTGACCAATGGTAAAAGCTGACAAAAACGTATTTAATAATCGTAAAGTAAATCAGTCACAGTCAAAAGTACTTACGAGTTCCGGATGTGGGGGCCATAGCCCGTTCACGTAAAGTTTGTCTTCTGGCAGCCCGACTGAGAGCATCGCGGCTTTCATTAGCGTAAGAACGCACAAAAGACTGTTTCGGAAGTTGTCTCAGCACAGTATATTGAATCACCGGTGCTCGACAAACTAACCTAGCTGCTAACAATGACGCCATTTCGCTAAAAATGGACCACGAGCTTTAGGTGAAAGCCGAAAGTGTTGCACTCGACTATAAAAATGTTTGTTGATAAATGCGTAGTCTTAATTTAGAAAATAAGTAAACAAAACCCCTTGGAAAGTTCCAGAACGTTTGAGGTTAGATGATGCAATATTGAATAATTTATATTACTTTAACGCTAATTAACTTAAGAAGTGATTTATACCTGTTTACAACCAAAAAATTAACGAATCACTGCACAATTTAGAGTTATTTAGAAAAAATTAGAAATTTTGTTGCTTTACCTTTTTTGTTATTTTACTGATTTTGACATTTGACATCCAACTGTCATAAAGCAGGAAGGTGCAATTTAAAGATAGCTTCACAATAATGGTGAAAATCTGCTTAMACGATGTGCGTAAACGTAATGACGTAACGAAAATAATTGATGCATAAAAATATACAATATAATGGTCATAATAACAAGTAAAAAATAATTAATAACACAATCTAAAACTAAATTGAACACACGTTCAAAAGAACATAATGGAATATTACAATTATTTCATTTATTACATCAACTCTCCCTGGCACATTTTATACTGTGTGTTTTGAAATAATCCGGTGCTGCTTCCTGCAGCCAATCACTTTCGACCGTTGACAGTAACCTTAAGTAGCGTTTTGTTGTTTGTACAACTTCTGTGAACAAAACAAAATGGGGTTGTTGGCCATGCAAGACGGAACTTGGGTGAATTGAAACTACTTGTCTTTTATCAAGCTGCAAAAAAATCGTTAAGACAAAYCATTAAATAACAAAAAAATTACTGTAATGTATTGTCTATCCCTGTGAAGTTCAGCGACATTCATAAAGAGGCCAGTCAAAAGACATTTTCTAACTTGATCCATCTGACTTCCACACGACGCCAACGCAAGCCCCGTCTTAGTACAAATTTCCTCCAGTTGAGATCTGACTTCTCTCGCTTGCAAAATATTTCTCATATTGATGTAGTGTTCATGACACCAACTTCGGCAATTCTGACCCACATTACTAAACTCCCTATAGATATTTAAAAGGGTAATGTGGTCTCCATAGGCCGAGAAGAATTTCTGTCGGATCGTTTGTACTTGATCTCGTTTATTTGGAGGGCTGAGTAAAATTGATTCAACACTTAATAGCGATACTATAGTCAATACTTCTTCCAAACAACCAAAATTCGACGCAGATAGTAATATTTTACTAAACCGGGGGTCAAGTGGAAATTTTACCATTTGTTCTCCTAAACTAGTTAAACAACTAGACTCCACGGCTTCTATGGCACCTAATAATTTCAACTGATCAAAAGCTGCAGTTATTGCATCTTCTGGCGGTTTATCCATGAAATCRAAGTACAACGCGTGGATGTCTAGCGCAAGAAGTTGCAATGCGACAGAAGTGAGATTCGCACGTTGTATTTCAGGAATCGTCGATTTTTGCATCATTTCAAATTGAGATCGGGTGTAGAGTCTGTAACAAGTGCCTTCAGARTCACGGCCTGCCCGACCTGTTCTTTGCCAAGCTTGTTCCTGTGATATTCTTTGCACTTTGAGTAACTCTAAACCAGTCGCGGGATGATAAGTTCTATCAAWTAAGAAATTAACAAAAAATTTAATTTCAAATCAATCTTACCGAGCCTTAACCATCCCACTGTCAATGATATATTTAACTCCCGTGATAGTAACACTAGTTTCGGCAATATTTGTACTAATTATAACTTTCCGCATATTTTCGGGTGAAGGGTTAAAAACAGTCATTTGTTGCGAACTAGGTTGCGCAGCATATAAAGTACACACTCTTACGTGGGGGCCCTCGACTTCAGGGTCTTTACTAAGGACGCGTATTTGGTGAGCTACAGCTTCGATTTCTTCTTGGCCGGTCAAAAAAATTAAAACATCGTGGCTAAAAATCAATATTAAAAAAACGAATACYTTTAATTTATTTTTACTTTGCTGGTGCTTCCCTATGAATTTTAAAAAATGTTGCTACAGCTGCTGTTTGATAATCTTCATGAGGTTTCACTGTGTAAAAAACGTTAACTGGGTAAGTCCTCCCTTCAAGATATACTGCTTGGCAGTTGTTGAAGTATCTTGAAAAGTGGTCAACATCCATTGTTGCAGACATGATGATAATCTATAAAATAAATTCACTTAAAAAAAACAAAATAAAAAATAAACGTGCAAAGAATAAACAGTAAATCACCTTTAAAGACTCTAAATTCCTGTTTTCCCTAACTTTCTGTRCATTTTTAACAATTCCAAACAAAACATCAGTGTTTATTGTCCTTTCGTGAGCTTCATCCAAAATAACGACTGTGTATTCCATTAGCAAATTATCAAACATTGCCTCCCTAAGTAACATTCCATCAGTGAGATATTTAATTTTGGTTCTTTTCGACGTTACATCCTCAAATCTGACTGTATACCCAACTGTATCTCCTACGGTTTGTCCATTTCCATATTCTTGGGCTACTCTTGTTGCGATACTAACTGCAGCAACCCTCCTAGGTTGCGTAATTGCTATCCTACCATTATTTTGTAACCTTGCTGAATTAATATATTGAGGAATTTGCGTAGTCTTCCCACTCCCAGTTTCGCCCAAAATAATTAAAGTGTTATGTCTTTTTATTAAATCTAATAGTTTGTTTTTCTTGTCATAAACTGGCAGTTTCGTTCTTTGTTCTTGTATACTTATTTTGAACTTGTTACCCCCGTTAGCGATACTTGACTTGTTTGATTCATTATCATTTAATTTGATTTTTTTAGGAGAAGTTGGACCGTTCTTCTTGCTAAACAAAATAGGTGTAGGTCTTGGCTTAATCTTAAATTTTGAAATGTTCAATTTATTGCTATTCCCCAGTAAACTGTATTTTGAATCCATTTTTATAGGTTATACACGTGTTGGTCCTATCGACGTAAAACTACATAACAAACATTTCCGGGAGTAAATAAAAAGTACAGCACTAAAGACACACTTCACTCTTATCACTAATAAGTACTAAAGAAGCTTTTATGTTTTTCTTCGAAATCAAAACATAACCTACACTTTTCAAAAATCGATTGTGGCTACAGTTACACGCAGACACTAGTGTGCTCAGACATCACGACGTTGAAAAACTAACTACTAAACACCAAATTTTTGTTAATTTCGTTAATTTTCAAGTAATGTAAATGATAAAATCATTATTTTATTTTATAATTATTTTTTTATTAAAGTTATTAGTTAAAGTCAAAGTGCACAAGTTACTAACATTGCAGATTACAGTTTGCTGTAAATAAGAACGACAGATGTCAGGTTGGTAGTCGATTGTTGATGATGATTAATTGAAAAATGGCTGCTTGACCTTTTGGAGTAAATATGATTTTTTTACGGTGGTTTGGTTAATATTTTTGTATGTGTGGCGGTTATTAGTGCTTCTTATGACTCTGAAGAAAATCAGGGACGTCTTCCATGTATCTCTAATGCTCAGGTACTTGTAATTTCTCCTTTCACCATACAAAGATAGTACAAAAGAAAAGAAGAGATAGATTTTGACAGTTCATAAGTCCACAGAAAATCCGGCAAACATAATAACAACTCATTTAATCTCAAAATGTAATTTCCCACATTGCCCACAATCATACATAAACCCATTTTAGCAATTTACTGATACTTTCTCAATTTATCTAACTGTCATATCTGTTGTCCACAGGTGTAAGAAATCGCATTACCATTTACTTATTTCCTAGTGAATGGTCCCATTTTATTCGTTACCATAGCTATAACTATGGATTTAATACAAGATGAAGACAGGCGGAAGAGGCTACGCCTCCTCCAGGAGAAGATCCAGGATCCAAGAGGGATTGGCAACATTGATTCCCTCTTGGATACTGTCCAGGCCCTCCACACGGATTGCGATTATCCAGCCATGAGAAAGATCAAAAACATCGAAATGTATCTAAACAGATGTAAGTAGATAGCGTCAGGCAGGAAAAATAAAGTATAAAAGGGAAACATGATGTAAGACTTTTATTACAGTTGTGAATGTAATACCAATAACGACATTAGAATTTTTAATGATTTTAAGTATGTTTTAAGTTRAAAAGAACACTACAACGTTACAATCGTGTTAATAAAATTATAATAGACATGATAATAAAAATATTGGCTATTTGGAAATTATTTTTATTTAATGTTGTTTTTAATAACACATTATGTACACAATATATCAGAATGCGTTATTTTATTTGTGTTATGAATGTTTTCAATTTTGTTTGCAGTTTTTTTGTAATATGGATGATTAATTCATCGTGTAACAGCAGTATTATTCAACTGTATTTTAAAAGCTGTTAAAAATTAAATTGTTTTATTTTTATCTCCGTCATTACCAGATTCCATACGCGAAAAAATCGTTTGCGATAAAAACCTGACGTTAGTTATTTACTTCGTTTACAATTAACTCTTGCACAATTTCTCGCTAATTTATATTCTCGTTGTTAAAATATAAAAAATGTCTCTTTAGACGGGGATTTTGCCACTGAAGTCGTCAACCTTCGCATGAAAACGGACGATTTTGAGCACATCAAAGTTATAGGACGAGGAGCTTTCGGCAAAGTCCAGCTAGTTCGCCATAAACACACTCGCCAAGTCTATGCAATGAAACGCTTAAGCAAAGCTGACTTAATCAAACGATCAGACTCTGCATTTTTTTGGGAAGAAAGACATATCATGGCTCATGCTTCCTCTGAGTGGATAGTCCAACTGCATTTTGCATTTCAAGACGCCAAGCATTTGTACATGGTGATGGATTACATGCCTGGTGGAGATATCGTAAACTTAATGTCGAATTATGAAATTCCCGAAAAATGGGCAAAATTTTACACTATGGAGGTCGTGCTTGCTTTAGATGTGATCCATTCAATGGGATTTGTTCATCGTGATGTCAAACCAGATAATATGCTTTTGGATAAGTACGGTCATTTGAAATTGGCCGATTTTGGTACCTGTATGCGGATGGACGAGGACGGACTTGTTAGATCGAATAACGTGGTTGGTACCCCTGATTATATCTCTCCGGAAGTGCTTCAGAGTCACGGGAAGGGAATTTACGGGCGGGAATGTGACTGGTGGTCTGTAGGAATTTTTCTTTATGAAATGTTGGTAGGCGAGACGCCTTTTTACGCAGATAGTTTACTTGGTACTTATAATAAAATAATGTATCACGAAAATAATTTAACCTTTCCTGAAGAAGTAGAAATTTCTAAAGAGGCTATAGCTTTAATACAGGGTCTATTATGTGATAGAACTAAACGTTTAGGACGGAATAACGTTGACGAGATAAAAAAGCATCCGTTTTTTATAAATGATCAATGGACTTTTGAAAATTTGAGAAACTCGGTACCTCCGGTGGTGCCTGAATTATCGGGCGATGACGACACTAGCAATTTCGATGATTACGAAAAAGAAGAAACGTCCGAAGAAGTGTTTCCAGTGCCAACTAGTTTTATAGGAAACCATTTACCATTCGTAGGCTTCACTTATAATTCAGATTATCAATTGTTATCAGAAAGAAAAAATGATATTGTAGATAGCGGCAAGATTAATCATCTCAACGATAAAGACGCAAATGCTCAAGTAACTAAACTACAACAACTCTTAGAACACGAAAGAAGTAACGTGGAAGAATTGAAAGAAAAACAACGAAATTTAATTGCTCAAATCAGTAGATTAGCTCAACACGAATCAGAAGTTCGGGAGGAGTCATCCAAGTACGAGAAAGAATTAACCATCTTAAAACATAATTATAAAGAATTGCAACGTAAGGCCGAAAACGAAAACGAGCTCAGAAAGAAAACGGAGAAGTACCTAGCTGACATCAAGCGAACTTTGGAAGAGGAACAGAATAAAAGAACGCGCGAAATGAACAACAACCAGCAACACAATGACAAAATCAACATTCTAGAAAAACAAGTCAACGACATGCAAGAAAAGCTTAAAGTCGAGACAGAAAATTGCCAGAGGTTGCGGAAGCAAACCACGGAATTAACGATGGCTAAGGCGGCTTACGAGCAAAAAGTCGCTGAATATCAGGCTGTGTTACAAAATTTGCAAGCACAGAGAGACAGTTTTCAAGCCGAAGTTGCCACCCTGCAAGGACAATTGACCCAAGAAATTGCAGCAAGGACGCAAACTTCGGAAGAATATCGTGTGATGGAAAACCGATTCCAGAATGTTAACTCCGAGTTGGAGAGAAGTATGCAACGGGAGAGGAAAATCTTGGCCGACAATACGCAACTGACTGAAAAAGTCTCGACTCTAGAGAAGGAATGCGCATCTCTATGCCTAGAATTAAAGGCAGCTCAAAATAGGTATCAGCAAGAGGTTAGGGCCCATGAAGAGACCGAAAGGAGCCGGTTGTTGAACAAGGAAGAGGCTAATTTGGAAGTTGTTAAAGGTTGGTATAAAAAAATTCTCTTATTTTGTAAAAAATTAGTTAATTGCTGTATTTTTTGCATGCAGAACTTATGGATAGAATAATTAAGGGTAAAATCTTGATTTATCAAATGWACACTTATTTTGGGGTATTATAAAAAAAATTGTTTCTAGCTCTTCAAGCAAAACTCAACGAAGAGAAAAGTGCCAGGCAAAAGGCTGATTTAAACACTCAGGAAAAAGAGAGGCAAATTTCAATGTTGTCGGTMGACTACAGACAAATCCAGCAACGACTACAAAAACTAGAAGGCGAACATCGACAAGAAGTCGAAAAAGTCAAAGCTTTGCACAGTCAGCTCGAGCAGGAGCAACAAAAGAAAACCGTTTTACAGTCAGAAATGAGTCAACATATTTCCGAAGTTGCGAAACTTAAAGCTCGAGAATCTCAACTCGTAATTGAATTAAATCAAATTCAAGAGGCTAAAAAGAAGTTAGAGGAAGATTTGTTCAAGTTGAAGCGCGATTGGCAAATGGAACAGCTCCAAATGAAAGAATTGCAAGACTCGTTTGAGACGGAGCAATATTTCTCTACTTTGTATAAAACACAGACTAACGAATTACGTGAGGAGTTGGAAGAGAAAAATAAAGTTAATAAAGAGTTTGAAGAAGAGTGCGCTTCGTTGAAACATCAATGCCAGATAGCTTTGGCTCGAGCTGACTCTGAGGCTTTAGCGAGGTCGATAGCTGAAGAAACAATTGCCGATCTAGAAAAGGAAAAGACGATGAAAGAACTTGAGTTGAAAGATTTGTTAGCCAAACATCGAAGTGAAGTCAATTCGAAAGAAGTTGTTATTAATTCGTTGAAAGATAGAGAAATGGAATTGAAGAAAATGAATGAGCAYTTGTCGAAAGAGCGGGAAGATATAAATCGGCAATTGAAACAATTGCAAGAGGAGTTTAGTAAGAAATCAGGAAATAGTGAAGAAATTGATAAGTTGAAGARCAAACTTCAGACTGAATCACTGTTGAAACAACAAGCTGTTAATAAGTTGCATGAAGTTTTGAATCGGAAGGATTTGAGGGAGATGAAAGGGAAGAGTAAGATTTCTAATGCGGATTTGAGGAGAAAAGAGAAAGATCTGAAGAAACTTCAACAGGAATTAAGTCAAGAAAGGGATAAGTTTAATCAGACTATTAGTAACTTCCAAGCTCGTATACAGGAATTAACGGTAGGTTTTTAAGTATAAAATTGTTTGGGGATTATATTTTTTTTATTTAGGCGCAATGTAATGAAGAAATCGCTTCAAAACAAAGGCTACAGATGGAGCTGGACAGCAAAGATTCGGAAATCGAACAGCTTCAAAAGAAATTGGCCGCGATTAACAGTGAGACAGCTTCGTTGAGCTCAGCCGATAACGAAGGAGATGAAATAAATTCCGATTCAATGATCGAGGGTTGGTTGTCGATTCCGTCGAAACAAAACATCAAAAGACACGGGTGGAAGAAACAATACGTTGTAGTGTCAAGTCGGAAAATAATTTTCTACAATTCAGAAAGTGACAAGCAAAACACCGATCCTGTGATTGTTCTTGATCTCTGGTAAAAAATCTCGGGAGAGTTTTATAGAGTTGATAATTTGTCTCTTTTTTAGCAAAGTGTTTCACGTGCGTTCGGTCACACAGGGTGACGTCATTAGGGCCGATTCCAAAGACATCCCTAGGATATTTCAATTGTTGTATGCTGGAGAAGGCGAAGCGAGGAAAGCTGACGAGCAAAGCAATTCGCTTGATGTTAGTTCGATGCGGAATTTTGAAGACAAACCGGGTACTACGATACACAAGGGTCACGAGTTCCTAAATATCTCCTACCACATGCCCACGACTTGTGAAGTTTGTCCTAAACCTATGTGGAATATGTTTAGACCTCCCCCCGCTTTAGAGTGTCGAAGTGAGTGTTTTGTGTCTTTTTGAGGATTGGGGGAGATGGATATTCATGTTTTTCTTTCTTCGTTTCAGGGTGTAGGATAAAAATTCATAAAGATCATTTAGAGAAGAAGGAGGATACTGTACCTCCGTGTAAACTACATTATGACCCTTCTTATGCCAAAGAACTTCTCCTGCTTGCCCCTTCAATAGATGATCAAAAGCAGTGGGTGTGCAAATTGAGCCGGAAAATTCAGAAATGTGGATTCAAAGCCAACAATTCCAATGCCATAGATTCAGCTAAAATATCGCCTAGGTGAGTTGACGTAGTGTTGGGCATGCACACGTAGCTGGTTACGCTGAGCTGTCGGTTAGTTTTAATTTTGTATACCTTACGCTTATCTGTAAGTTCTGCAATTATTCCATCTACTTTTTATTAGCTTGTATATATATGAATTTTTATCAATAATTCCATTTTGTAGTAGTTCTTTAGCATTTTTGTGAAGGACATTGTATTTTTTTTTYMAAWTKRMYT